GTTTTCTTATTGGGTATATAAAGATGGTTGGTCTAGTCTTCAGGTTTTCTCTTTTTTTAAAAAAATATTTTATTTATTATTTTTATTTTATGTGTATGAGTGTTATGCCTGCATGTAGGTAAGTGCACTCATGTCATTCAATGCCCATGGAGGACAGAAAGGCTGTCAGATTCCCTAGAACTGGAGTTATGGACAGTTGTTAGCTGCCATGTGGGTGCTGGGATTTGAACCCACATCTTCTGCAAGAACAGTTAGTGTTCTTAACCATTGAGCCATCTCTCCAGCCTCCAGGTTCTCTCTTTTAATTTTGTATTAGAGGGACTAGATGGCTTCAGTTCAGCTACTCAGGAGCTGCTGCAGAAGCCCAAGTCAGATGCCAGTCAGGTACTCTCAGGCTTCCTCCTAAGGTCTGGGCTCTTATTAGTGAGCAGTCACAGCACAATTTGGAAAGCTCGCTAAGGGGAGGCTTGATTTAGGCACTCTCAGGAAAGGTCAGTCTGCAAAGGTCTGGGTCCCTACCAAAGGGCAGGGAAGCCTAGTCCTGGAGCAGTGGGAGACTCCACACATGGTCCCAATGTTAGGGAATGGGCATGGTGAGATTTGGGGAAGTGTACCACCGAGTGGATGCTGGATCCCGGCACCCTTGGGCAGTCTGCTAAAGTCTGGGCCCATTCTCTATTTTTAAGTGAAAAAAAAATCTGAAACATTTCAAACAAATAAAAGCACAAAGAATAATAACATGACAACACTTTTATACCCACCATCCAGAATTTATATATCTAAACAATTTATTTAAATGAAATAAAACATAACTTACCAGCACCCACTCTGGATCCTAGTTCTCAGAAAGCAATGCTGTCTTGATATGTAGTCTTCAAGTCTATAATTTTATACTTTCACTATATATGTATATATCTCATATTAATAAAGAATACACAGTGTTTTAAAATTCTAACAATGGTATTTATTTTAGACAGAGAAAATACTCATACTCCTATATCTTATATGTAAACAATCATATTTTGGTCTTCGCCATATTGTGTGTAGTCTTTATAGAGGTGTGATCAGGACATGCACACCAGCCAGGGTTTAGGTCAGTAGAATAATAACAGCCACTTGCACTTGCCTTTTGTGTACGTAGCCCTTGGTTCAGTCAGCTCAGTTGGCAGCATCACACACACACACAGATACAGACACACATGCAAACACACCCAAACACTCAGACACACACCCAGACACATACCCAGACACACACCCAGACATACACACAGGCACACATATACACACAGACATACACACATAGACATACACCCAAAATATGCACACAGTTTTGTCTTTCCCCTTCTTTAACCATCAAATTATAAATTTTTTTTCCAGTTTCTATCTCCATAATTATCCCTTTTAGAGGATGGAAAACATTATTGTGGATTCCTATTTTTTAGCAAAGTGTTTAAAAGTCACTGGTGGACAAGAAGCACCCAACAGTCACCTTCAGGCACAGTGATTATTTTTTTAAATGTATAATGTTTTGCTTTTCCAAGGTATAACTTTCTGTACTGCTTGTTTTTAAAATTTTATTTATTATTTTTATTTTATGTCTATGAGTGTATTGCCTGCATGTAGGTAAGTGCACCCATGTCATGCAGTGCCCATGGAGGTCAGAAGAGACTGTCGGATCCCCTGGGACTGGAGTTATGGACAGTTGTTAGCTGCCATGTGGGTCCTGGGATTCGAACCTGGGTCTTCTGCAAGAACAGCCAGTGTTCTTAACTGCTGAGCCATCTCTCCAGCCCCTGTACTGCTTGTTTTTAAACTACATACATACATTATTTTATTAAAATTATTTTATTAATTATTTGGCCAAAAATGTAATGTATTTTCTGTAGAAAATATTCAAGAAAAGTGATCTTTTGCCTTTTGATACATTTTTAAGGATCAAAATGATACATGTATGTGAAAGCCTTTGGTAAACTGTAAAAATCCCTAGAAATGAAGGGAAAAACCCCTAGGGCAGGAAAGGAGGGAGAGCTGAAAACTAACTTTGGGAATCCTCAGGCTAATGTGGATTCACTCAACTGTGGCTATCCATATTAACTTAGCTATAGTAACCCTAGTGGCAGTTACTGGGTTTTGGGGTCCTGAGGCAGAATTCATCTCTAAATATAGGAGTAATTTTTGGAGGAAGAATTTGTCCTACTTTTAAAAATCTAGCAGGGAGATTTCTTCATCTGTACTAGATGCAAATAGCATATCATAAGAATAAGATTTTTTATTATTTTTATTTTATGTGTATGAGTGTATATGAGTGTACTGCCTGTATGTGTAAGTGCACCTACCTGTGTTGTGCAATACCCACGGAGGTCAGAAGAGGGCATCGGATCCCCTGGAACTGGAGTTACAGATGGTTGTTAGCTGCCATGTGGGTGCTGAGAATTGAACCTCTGCAAGAGCAGCCAGTGTTGTTAATTGTTGAGCCATTGTTCCAGGCCCCCAAGAACAATTTTTATCAGCTCAACACTTCTAAGAAGTCTCTGTGTGTGTGTGTGTGTGTGTGTGTGTGTGTGTGTATGTGACAAGGGTCTCACCTATGTAGTTCAAGATGACCTCAAGCTTACAGCCATCCTTCTGCCTCAGCCTGTCAGGTGCTGGAATTACAAGTGTGTGTCACCACATCTGGCTCCATAAAGCTTTATAGACTTTATAGTGTTATCTTGAGGTTTCATACTTACTTATTTGTGACTAGTGGTGGGAAGGCAAATATTAATGAGAGTGTCATAGACTATCATGGTATGTTGTCATAAAACACTAAAAGATTTTTACTCTGGAAAACAAAGCAACCAAGGGCATTTTTTGTTGTTGTCACTTTTTTGTTCTGGAGTTTGAACTCAGGGCCTTGTGATTGGCAGGCATGGACTTTACCACTGAGCTATATCCATAGTCCGAGGCTACTTTTAAGGTAGTAGCAGCTTTAGAATTCTTTTCTAGTCCATTTATGTTTATTAGCTACATCACCAACTCAAAAGTATGTGCATTTAACAGCATTCTGTTGTTATCAATGCATGGATATATTGTAGGGGAGGGATACACAATATCAAGTGTCCTGGTGTGCAAAGTGTGGAAGAGATGGCCAACTGACACAGTATGACTAGTGTATAACGGGGGAGGTTGGGGGAGGCTCTTTCCTGCTATTTGGCTGCCTCAGAGGCCTGGTGGTTGAGCGCTTTCCTTGCCTGCAGGCCTTTACCACTTCTGGTTATAGACTCAGGACTTTTGCCTTAAAGATGAAGAAACTGAGAAGTGGAGAGATCAGGTGTTTTGCCCAAGGCTTCTCAGGGTGATAGTGGCAGGATCTGAAAATCAGGTCCTCTAACCAGCAGCCCAGCTCTCTCCCTCTCCCTCTCCCTCTCCCTCTCTCTCTCTCCATCTCCTCACTCTACCTATCCCTCCTTACCAGGCATGACGATGAAATTGGGTCTCCCTGGGTGAGAGAATCTTGCAGGGAGATCTGAAAGGATTGGGGCTATGATGTGGGGTCTTCATAAGGAGAGTGGGGTCAATTCACTCTTGGGGCAGTGGTCAAGCCATATGGTATTCGGTCAAACAGTAGAGGCAGGGTATTAGAGTTTCAATTGGGAGGGGATGTTCGTCCATCTTGTGTTGCTACTATAACAGAATTCCCAAGATTGGGAAATTTGTAAAGAACAGAGATTTACACAGTTTTAGAAACCTGAAGGGCATAGTGCTGACATTTAGTGAGGGGACTTTCTTGCTGTGTCATCACATGGTGAGAGGCAGCTTGCAAGCTAGGGTCTCTTTCTGTTTTATATAGCCAATAATCTCATTATGGGGGGGGGTCCTGTCTTCATGATATTATCCAATTCTAATCACCTCCCAAAGGCCTCACTCCCAAATAGAATCAATTTATGGATTTGGGAATTGTGTTCCACTCATGAGCCTTTAGGGGACACACTGAAAACATAGTAAAGGGAGGAAGGGGGATCTGAACCATGCAGGGGTCTGAGTGGCTGCAGGGGGTAAGTAAGAGGTGATAAAACTAGAGAGGGGATGCAGGAGAGCCGAGTCCAACCCTGTTGGCCCTTTCCCCAGGAGTCTGCCTGCGTTTTTTTTTTTTTTTTTTTTTTTCTTTTCAGAAAGATTTTGTGCAATATAAAAGCTCTTGCATTGCATGCAGAAGTCCAGTTTCTTCTGCACCTGACGCTGTGGAAAGCGTCACTGGGATCTTTCTTGTTAGTATTTTTCTTCCTGCTAGGGCAGTGTTTTGAAGACATAGTTATTTTAGGTGACCTCTGCGCTCTCTGCTGGTTTATGTTAGCAACTACACCATCTGGCCACGTAGGTTTATTAGGAGAGAGCAGGAGAAAGGGAGGTATGGAAGAACTAGTGAATTCAGGAGTGAAGAGGGAACAATTCCCTGAAAATTATATGAGCCAATCTAGATAGAACAAATCATCTTGGTGATGTTCTGGTTATATGGGAGTCAGGATGAATTCCTTTTGGGCCAGGGAGGTAGAATTATAATCTTGCTGATTTCCTTCCATTCCTGGTTGGGGGTTGGGCTTCCCATTCATAGAGTCTGAGGCACTCAGACTTGCTTTTATTAATAGATGTTATAAACCTGTGCACACTGAAGTCTGAAAACCATGATAATGGCTAAGAGCAACAGTTGAGGGGTGGGATGGGAGGAACTTCAAGGTGTTAATGGATGTTGCTCATAGCTAAATGTTTGTGAAGCTCATGTACCATGGTCCTTTTCTAATACATGCATGGCATATATTAAAGGTGGAGGGAAGTTGCGTGGCACAGAAGCCATCTTAAATTTGTTTAGTTCAGCATTTTCACAGATTTTTTTTTTCTACCACAGAATTCTTTTCCTTATGGAATACCAACAATCATCACTAATAAAGCTTGCTTGGAAACTCAGGAACCTGTGACCAGGTGACCCCTCTCCCTTCTAACTCGCCTCTCTTCTCTTCTTCCAGGCAGACATCTTCTCTGGGGCTATATTCATCAATCTTGCCTTGGGCCTGGATATCTATTTGGCCATTGTTCTTCTATTAGCAATCACTGCTCTTTATACAATCACAGGTGAGTCCATTCAAGTGATGCAGCTCAGGGCTAGGCATTTGTGAAGCTTAAAAGGAAACAGGAGACATGGTTTCTTCTCCTGAGAGAGAGGTATACCCAGGGAACAGTTTGAGAATTCGTATTTGCAAGGTCTCCACTGGAAGTCCTGTGAAGGGTCTAGGAACACTCCAATGTTGGCTGGAACAGTCAGGACAAGTTGTTACAGGCGTTCAGGCAGAGCTTGGCCCTGGAGGTTTTGGAGACCATGTAGCAATATTGGGACAATCAGATGAATGCCAGGTGTGGAGAATGGCAGCAGGACTGGGCATGGCATGGGTTAAAAGCAAGCTGAGCCAGCAGATACCCTTGGCTGGAAGAGGGTAGCTACTGGAAAGCAGTGGGGGTGAGTATAGGCCATAAGGCTTGGTAGTATTAGCAGGTACAGGATCCTTGAAGCCAGACAGAGGCCTTAGATTTGATGGGACTACATTGGGAGCTATTGGGAGAAAAATATACAAAGAGGTTTTGGAGGAAGATTTGAGGAATGACAGAGGAACTTTTGTGTAAACAATAATGGATTCTTCTGTGAACTTATTACTGTGCTTGGTTTTGGAGGGGTGGGATTCACAGTTCTGGAGGGGTAGGATCAACAGTTGACCTAGCTGCTCTATGGGAGCCCATATATTTGAGGATAAGAAGTTACGTAGAAGGGTTGAGTATGCAATTTACTGGTAGTGCACTCGCCTGACACAAAAAGTATCCTTAGGTTCCATCTCCAGCATCACAAAGTAAAAAGAAAGTACTTGGATGGAACTAGACAAAAGAACCTGAACAAAGAAGTGGCCCTCTGAAACATAATGGCTTGGTGATGTCCCCAGGTGTCTCAATTGCCGGCTCTCCCCTCTTCTGTCTTTATTTGGATGATGCTTCTGTTTACCACAAAGACTCTTTTGAGTCCTCTGTGAGCTTATAAAGCTTCCAGAAGGTCTTTTCCACTCAAGTATAAACAAATGTTCTCTATTCACCAGGCCTTGCATGCATTTTCATAAGTGGAGGTTGGGAACATGCAGACTATCACATAGGGTTAGGGAAGGAAGGGAGGAAAGGCAAGTGGATGATGGTGGTAGGGGCTGGGGGAGTCAGTGCTTCTCAGAGGTACATAGGAGGTAGACAGAGGGCAGTAGATGGGAAAAGGAAGCAGGTAGGACAGTCATCCTCTCCATGTGATCACATATGTTGTCTTCTTGCTTGCTTAGGGGGCCTGGCAGCTGTGATTTACACGGATACCTTGCAGACAGCGATCATGCTGGTGGGGTCTTTTATCCTGACTGGGTTTGGTAAGTAGGGCTAGGGCAGGCTGAGGAGGTGGGGGCAGAGGTATAGGGTTCCAGGAAGAGAAAAGCAAGTCTGGACTCTGCCAGCATGCTCTGCCCAACTAAGGTTAATGGTCCAGCCCAGACTGTCCACCATTATGGGTGTGTATGGGAAATTTCTTTACTCCTGGAGGACTCATGTTGGGGCCAGGGAACAACTGGACTCTGTGCTCTTTTCTCTCTATAGCTTGTGTCAGTGGTCCCCAGTCTGGGCTTATGATAATCTGGTATTCCATTCACAGAGAAACTGGGCAAAGCCAAATAAGGCTAACTATCCATCAAGTAAAATGTATTCACATGTTGTATTTCCAGTCTGAGATTGTGTCTTGACTGCATTGCACTGTTAAAGTCCAATGTTTATGCATTGTTGATGGTAGGTGATTTTTATTTCAATGCCCTTATTTGATAAATTTAAAAATTTGACAGTCAGTGTTAACATCTTGTCCTGGTTTGTTTCTTCATTGCTGCGACAGAAATACTCTGTCCAATACCTACTTGGGGAGGAAAGGGTTTATTTGGCTTATATCTCCCAGGTCACAGTTCATCAGGGAGCCCAAGGTAGGAACTCAGGGCAGGAACATGGAAGCAGGAGCTGGAGCACAGGCCACGGAGGAACACTGCTTACTGGCTTGCTCCCCTGGCCCCTGCTCAGCTTATTTTCTTATGCAACACAGGCCCACCTGCTCAGGGGTGACACCACCCGCAGTGGGCTGGGCCCTCCCACATCACTCAACAATCAAGAAGATGCCCCCAGACATGGGCACAGGCCAATTCAATGGAGGCAATTCCCCACTGAGGCTCCCTCAACCCAGGTGTGTCAAGTTGACACTAAAGCTATCCAGTACATATCTCTTACAATTTCTTGAAATTATATTTGTGCATAAAATCATAAAGACAGCATTAGAAAGCCTAGCTTGTTATGAGAAGGTATAAAATGCCCTTTGTTTTTAGGTGTGCAAAACCGTCTTTGTGTCCTTTAAAGATTCTTATTCATGCCTTAGAGTTTAATTTTCTAAGGATTTTCATTTGATTCCTCGCTGTAGGCTTGGGGGTGGGTGGGTCATTAAGGCAGAGGCTAGAAAGATTTGAGTACACACAGCTGAGAGGTGGTAGGGTTTCAGAGTCCTTACCCACTCCTGGGACATCCCACTACACCCTTGAGACCAGGTGGTAGGCCTGTGTCCAGGCCCCAAAAGGTTATTGTGTGTCTCTTAAGTCTGTGTTCTGAGTTTTAAGGATCATGGCTGACAACAGGGGTTTAAAGAAAAAAGGAGTCTGCATGTGGTCTAAAACCAAGGTCTTCCTTTAAATAAAATACCTTCCTTTTGTACAAGTTATTGCTTTGAAGTATCTCTCAAGAGGGCTGGGCAGACTCAATAATCCCATTCTATGAATGAGAAACTTGAGGCTCAGAGAGAATTAATTTGCCCAATGTCACACATCAAGGGCTGTAATTGATACTGGTGCTCTCTCAGTGCCTGAGGTATTCATAAAAGAAACTACTTTATAAAGAACTAAAAATTACAATGTCCTTTTTTGTACCAATGCTTTTCAGCTTTCCATGAAGTAGGAGGGTATGATGCCTTCGTGGAAAAGTATATGAATGCCATTCCAACTTTGATTTCGGATGGAAACACGTCTGTCAAGTCAGAATGCTACACTCCCAGGCCTGATTCTTTCCATATCTTCCGAGATCCTATTAATGGAGACATCCCATGGCCTGGGCTCCTATTTGGGATGACCATCCTTTCCATGTGGTACTGGTGTACAGATCAGGTACCCAAGCTGGATAGGCAGGTGGACAGGGTGCACGGGTGCACGACAGGGTTCTCATCTGTCTTTGACTTGTTGGGGTTGAAGAGGGCTCCCATGGTCTGTGTGGGATGATGAGGACCCAGGCTAAAGACCCCAATACAGGGAGGCTGGGATGTCAGGAGAGTGTTGTGGAATCACTGGGCTGTGCCCCTCCTCACCAGGCTCTTCCTGGCAGGTAATCGTTCAGCGCTGCCTCTCAGCCAAGAACATGTCTCATGTGAAGGCCGGCTGCATCTTGTGTGGGTACATGAAGCTGTTGCCCATGTTCCTCATGGTGATGACGGGGATGATCAGCCGCATTCTGTACACAGGTAATTCCTTTGGCGGGACTCACAGGGCTCTCATTTTGCTGGCTCGAAGGCCTTCGGAAGGCCCTCAGCCCCGCGCTCCTGTTCTGCTGTCCTTTTGTGCCGTGATTACTAGGCACCATCATTTTCAGTGCTCATGAGCAAACTGAGGATACAGAACTTTCGGGGTTGTCTTTTCTGACTTAAATCAATTTATTATTTACTTACGTTTAAAAAATTTTTTGTTTGACCGGCAGGTTAAGTTGCTTGTTACTGAGCTCGATACCCTGAATTCAATCCCAAGAGCCCACGTGGTGGAAGGAGAGAACTCATTCCCTGATTTCTTACATTGAAAATTGCTTTCTTATTTTTTCCTAATCTTCTATAGTCATAACGTGACTCCAGGTTCCCGCTTCCAGTTAACATATTTGATCAATTGTAGTTCTTCCTGCACCCCAAGCCCCGAGGCTTGTAGTGGTGTCCGTAGTGTCTTTTATCATTTTAATGCCTGAAGACTCCAACCAGTCTCTGCTTGCCTTGTTCGGAACCCTGTTCTGGGGAATCATGTCTTTGAAGGTGCCCTAAGCCTTGCGATTGCTATCTAGAGTGATAGATTCTGCTGTGGTCTTTTTGTGGCCTCAGCATTGTTGTGTGTGTGTTCTTGTTATTAATAACAATCATTTTTGGTTAGATGTCATGATCAAAACTGTTTTGGGAATGTGAAATAATGGCAGAAAAAAGTCAGACTAGTGTGAAGGCACCTTGCTGTGTTGTCCTGGGTGGCTAGCCAGCTGGTGTTCTCACTCTGTACTGGACAGTCTGCCATAAGAAAAAGACAGAGGGCCCTCTGCATTTGTGACTTACACATCTGTGGGTCCAGCCAACTGCAGATTGAAAAAATTAATAAATTTGAATATATACCAAAATATGTAGACTTTTTTACTTATTGCTATTTCCAAATGGTATAGTATAACAAGTACTTCTGTAGCATTTATAGACTATTAGGTATTACAAGTAATCTGGAGATGATTTAAAGTATATAGGAACATAGGTATATATTATATACAAATACTGTGCTATTTTATTTAAAGGATTGAGCACCTGCAGAGTTTGGTATGCACTGGGGTATCTAGGAACCAATCACACATGGACCCTGAGAGACAATTGTTTAGCTAACTTACTGACTCATGGGTATTACATGTATTTATTTATGCATTGGTGCTATAGGGGACAGTACTGGATGAGATATATTTATGCTAAATACTTAATAAATGTTTGCTGATTTGAACTCTATATACGTTTCTAGAATTTTCTCCAACACTCTAAATCTTGTTCCACTCCCATTCTATTTTTTTTTTTTTTCAGACAGTTTCTCCCATAGCCCCAGCTGGCCTGGAACTCACTATAGAGACCAGGATGGCCTCCATCTCACAGAGATCTGCCTGTTCTGCCTCCCAAGTGCTGGGATTAAAGGCGTGAGCCTCAAAATAAAAATAACAAATAAAATTTAAAAAAAAAGAAAAAAAGGGGCTGGAGAGATGGCTCAGCAGTTAAGAACACTGGCTGTTCTTGCAGAAGATCTGGGTTCGAATCCTAGCACCCACATGGCAGCTAACAACTGTCCGTAACTCCAGTTCCAGGGGATCTGACAGCTTCTTCTGACCTCTGTGGACATTGCACGACAGGGGTGCACTTACCTACATGCATGAGTGTGTATATACTCATATACACAAAAATTTTTTAAAAAAGGTGTGGGCTACCATGCCTGGCTTCTAGTTCTTTGTATCTGTGCTCTAGGTTTCTCACATTTTGGGAATTACTTCAGTTTTCTAGGCCTTTGTAGGTCTAAGAACTGTTTAAAATCTCAAAATTAGGAGCCACAGATTATCATGATTTTTCAGGAGGGGGGGGCATTGCCAAGCTGTTAGGATAGAGAACTGCTCCACTGTTTCCGCCTAGATCATTTCTTTATTTCCTTTCTTCCTCCGCCTAGGAACTATTTTCTCTCCCTGGTGAAAGCTTGGGGATGTATCAGGGCCAGCAGGGCAGGAGCACGACAGGGAACGGCTTAGCTGGGAGCTGCGTTCCTTTTAGGGTTTTGGGCAGGAATGTGTTGTTCATTGGAACCATTTCCCCAGTGAATGCTTGCTGATGGGACTCTTACTCTCTCTTCAGAGAAAATCGGCTGTGTCCTTCCCTCAGAGTGTAATAAATACTGCGGAACCCCAGTTGGCTGTACGAACATCGCCTATCCAACTTTGGTTGTGGAGCTCATGCCTAATGGTGAGTCTTTCATGGGAGCCAAATGGTTTAGGCTCCACTGAGACATTCTGTGGGTGCATTATGTGGCATTGCGACTTGTGAGCCAGGGGTGTGGTCAGTAGGAAAAGCCTCATTTCTGTGTTTTTAATTTATGTCTTCATGACAAATGGTTTGTTTGGGCTCCAGGAGGCCTGCAACTTGTCCATCAGTCAGGCTAAGAAAGGAAATGATACAAAAGTTTGTTAGGGAAAAGCATGCCCTTTCCATGCTTGACTAGAAGGTTTTTTTTTTGTTTTTGTTGTTGTTTGGGTTTTTTTTTTTTTTTTTTTTTTTTTTTTTTTTTTTTTAAAGGGGT